TCAATAGCTTCAACAATACTCGTCCAATAGTTAAACTGTGCCTTACTAGTAATGAACACATCTTTATTATTATTAACTATTAACTGAAAAGATGATAATTATAATTCAATTGATACTAATGGACCCACTATTAGCCCAGGTCCCAGCCACTGAAGTATATTCTCAATACTTCGGCCAATATGATCCAATTCTTCACTGATTATGTTCTCATAAACTTTATCCGTCAGTTCCTTTCCTTTATATGAGGTTAACTGGGTACAGAATGACTTCACAACTGGACCAAGGCCTTCCACAAAATATCGTAACAGAAACAAAGTCTTTTTAAGATCGTCCCTGATAATTACATCTTCATCAGGTTTCTCATCTTTATCAAGACCAAGGCCTTGCTCGGGTCCTCTGGGGTTGAACACCTCCTCCCATGTCTAGCAAAGGACCAGTGGTTAGCTTACAGTGTAGAGATACATGTAACTGTACCTCATAATAAGCAAAGAACTTCCTCATGTAACACCTAGTGGCATCTTCATCATCTTCTTCAATTTTAATTTTGGAAATGTCTTCAGATACTTGATACACGTGACTCCAAAACTTACTGCATGAACAGAAACATAATTAATTAATTAATTAATTATGGTGAAATTCAAATTTACTGTTTCCTTGAGAGGAGGTGGAGAGATTCAGTGGATTCCTTCTCAGTGGTGAGGTAAGAACTGACCAAGAGACGGGCAAAAGGAATCTTCCTCACAGGGAGGATCTTATCATCCGTAAGTATACTGAATATATTAAATAATAAATAAAATAATGAATAAATAAATAAAACAAACAAATAAATAAATGAAGCACTATGGTGCAATGGACTCGCCTGCTAGAATTCACCTGAGTGATATGTATTACTTGTACTGTGATATTTAAGCAATTTGAAAAAAATTATTATTATTGACTGCATACTTATAATGATAATTAAAATAAGCTATGGGTGTGGTCAACAACTAGCTAGCTAAATCATGGCACATGGGTAGGAGAAAAAAGAAAAGCTGAAATTTATTTTAACATCTGAAGCTCTATTCAAAGAAGGAGTTGGCACAAAAAATTTTCCTAGATATTTAAAAGAGACTGAGGGAGTTTGGTTGTTCCTGCTTTCCCCAGTGCCGCCTGAAAAATTTTCAAAGAGGCTAAATCACAAACTTTGAGCAACTGTAACTCACAAACAACGAAGTTAGGACAAAATCGTTCTTTTTGTTTTTTGCTAGATGGGATTTTCTACCTCTGAAGCAAATCCCGGCCCTGTAGAGTGAAACACAAGCTCTCACCTGGAGAGAGGTCCCCTGGTTTAGCAGTTCACAGGTTTTGGTGCCACGGGATGCTACAAGAGTATAACTAGATGAAAGAAAGCAACTTTATCTGTTGCTAGAAGAAGAAATATAGCTCTAGACTGCTCAGACAAAAAGATAATTTTTTTACAAATCAATTAAACTGTGTGGACAGAATGACAGAACGAGAGCACTAAAGTGCATACCCTCGCCACAATCTGTGTGTAACAATTTTAATAAATTAAGAGAAAAATAATTAGTGAAAGTTTTGAGACAAAAAAGAAGCTTCAGCATGTAAAAACTTAGTGAATATTTTTTGAGACAGAGAATTTTTTTAGACAGGGAAGAAGCTCCAGCATGCTTGCTGCACTGCATGCTGCAGCAATGTAAAGGTGTGGCTGCAATGAAGGCGTGGCTCAATCAAGCCATGCTCCACCCGCATACACAGTAATGGTGGCACATGGCCATAAGTGGTGAAGAAAGCTTTAGTTTTTTTCGATTTTAAAACATTTTAGCATACATTTGTTAGGCTATATTTGTTGCATACAAATGTCTTTTGAGCCCCTGATGTTTAAAGACTCTGGCCGCTACTTCGGGAGAAGAGAGCCTCGTGTAAACTCACAAAAAATTTTTGGGCTACCATATCTTTAAAACGAAGATGATTGGAGCAATTCCTCTCATATTAATAAAAGATGAGGCTTTGCCTTATTGTTTTATCTGCCCAGTTGCTCTTTTGATCTCACTATGAAAGAGTTGTCGGGGAACCAACCTACGTTTGGTGAATTTGCCAGCTTCTTTTTTCACGGAAAAGAAAAATATAGCATTCCCAAGACGGCGAATAACTTTTTCTAGAGTCAGTGTTGATTATAAGACTCTCGAGAACTAGACTAGAAAGCAGTGTCAGCTCAAAAGTGGAGGTCAAGCGAACACACACACAGACAGGACGACTGCTTTACCCTCACTTCCACGCCTATGCATGGGCTCGGGTAACTTCCACGCCTACGCATGGGCTCGGGTAATGACAACCCAACTGCTTAGTACCCGCCTGCGCAAGTGTGGCGAGTCCAATAAATAGATAAATATTTCTCACTTGACCAGTTCATCTAGTGTGAATATTTCCCGACACACAACTTCGACTGTTTTAATTTGTCCATCACAACAAGAACCGAGCAAACTCGTAACATGAAGCAACTTCAAGAGTTCAAAACCAACCAAATCCTAAACAGAATAAGTGTATTCATGAACCTTCTCTCTCTCTCTCTCTCCCTCTCACATCTCTTAAAACTCTAAGTCTCAGTTCGGATGATTTCTCTTCATCAGTTTCCTTATCCTTCATCAATATCTTCCCAAAATGGTCGACATAATTAGCACAAAACAGTTTCATGATGTGCCTCTGATGAAATTTAATAGGAACACCACTTGACTTGCAGGGCTGAAGGAAGACAAAGTAAAACATCAAGTACAACACAGTATAATACACAGACAGGTACTGTAATGGTAATGGTACTGTAAAAGTAATGATACTGTAAAAGTAATGGTACTATTACTACTGTACTGTAATGGTAATGATACTGTAATGGTAATGGTGCTGTACTTTTATAACAGCCTCCATTGTTGTTAAGAACTCCAAGTAGCCAGGACCTTCATCATCTTTATGTACTTCAACATCACCAACCGTTATTCTACTGGCCAGTGTGTATATCAACTCAAGATCATGCTCTGTTAGCAAATGACTGATCTTAAGATTATCAGTAACCACCTAATGGAGAGAGAATATACCTCTCAGAATATACCTCTCATCCTCACAGTCTCATTCTCATACTCTCATTTCTATATAGACCTTCTGCACGTGACGTCACAATTAAAGGCGGGACTTGTAGCAGCCATATGCATACTGAGTGTCAACATTGTGCAGTATGGGTAAGTGTCCCTGTGCAGTTTACTGCTCAAATAGATTTTCTAAAGGCTCTGGTCTTCACTTTTACCGCTTTCCTGCGGATCCTGATCGGAGGAATCTCTGGGTAGCTGCTGTGAATAGGAAAAACTGGCAACAAGTACAATCTATCACTTTTACCACAGGATTAAAGCTACAAGGTATAAAATGAAGTCTAACAGAGATATTATCGACTAAAGTTACATTGCAGTCAATGGTAAAAGTCAACCATAAGCCTTGTATGACATCACGTTAGCCACACACCCCAACAGGATGTAAAATGGCAGGAAGCAAAATGAGCAACTTTGCAGGCTCATATCTCTGTGAAAAAATTTTTCCAGACAATAAAACTTTCCAATATAGCATTTTTATGATCATATGATCATGTTAGGTCAATAAAAAAAAATACCCCAAAAAATCATGTCAGTTACACTTTAAGCTCGTGCAAAAGGCAG